CTTGAGCCCAGGAGTTGGAGGTTGCTGTGAGCTTTGATGCCACTGGCACTCTACCCAGGGGGACAGCTTGAGGGTCTGTCTCAAATAAAATAAAAAATAAATAAATAAAAAGAAAGAAATTAAAACTGAGAAATTTAAGTAATTATTTTTAAATGGCATTTCAGTTATTTTTTTGAAATTTAGTTAAATGTATACTTAGTAGTAGACTAGGTTTGACATAATGTGGTAGAAACTGTAACTATACTTCTTTCCCAGAATAAGGAGGAAAGTTGTGCTGCTCTGCATTTTTGCATACTCTTTAATGTCTGGCTTAAGAGAAGGCTGCTTTTGTATTCATCTTTTATGGTACAATTTTTTGCCTCTGGATGATCCCACTATACACTTAACATATAAGAGGATGAGAATGTAAAAGGCAAATGTCTTAGTGTTAATGTGCAAATAATTTTGACTTCATGGATCCCCTCGAGGGCCATGGGGGTCCTTGGACCACACTTTGAGAAATCTTGCTATAATTCAATAAAATTTCTACCTATGAGGTATTAAACACAATAGCCATTTTTGTTTCCATTTGGATTGTTTTCATGATTGACTATCTGTATTTCTTTGGTAAATTGCTTAGTTTTTCAGTTTTTACTTACCTGTTAATTCCTACAGTTTTTGTTCCATAGTTATTAACTTTTTGTTATGTGTTACCTTTAAATAGTTTTTGCTATTACATATCAGTTTTTATGTATGTATATGTCACTTTTGTCCTTTATGAAGTTTCTGCGTTTGTAATACATTGGAAATTCTTCTCTGTACCCAGATTATACAATTATTTCCTCTTTCACTGATACATCAAATATATAAGCACCTATTTTGTGCCAAAAACTATATTAGGTACTGAGCATGATATGTTAGACAATGGATAAAAAAATACCTGCTTTTGGGCAGTGCCTGTAGCTCAGTAGGTAGGGCACCAGCCCCATATACTGAGGGTGGCAGATTTGAACTCAGCCCCAGCCAAATTGCAACAAAAAATAGCCGGGTGTTGTGGCAGGCACCTGTGGTCCCAGCTACTTGGGAGGCTGAGGCAAGAGAATCACCTAAGCCCAGGAGTTAGAGGTTGCTGTGAGCTGTGATGCCGCTGCAGTCTACCGAGGATGATAAAGTGAGACTCTGTCTCAAAAAAAAAAAATCTGCCCTCATTTAACTTCATATCTTTAACACTAACAGTAAACTATCTGAAACTGCAATGAACATGATTTTCTAGAATCTTTAAGCCATAGGGCAACAATTAATAGGAACTGAGTTGCAGCTCTTCTGTCTAGCCAGGACATCTTTCTTTCTTTTTTTTTTTTTTTTTT